CCCCAAAACCCCAAAACCCCAAAACCCCAAAACCCCAACTATGGCAAAGTAATTGAAGTTAAGCGGTGTATTCTGGAATATTTTGGCTGCAAAATATGAGACTCAGAGACATGCCATTCTTTCCAGAGCTGTGGCGCTCTAGCCTTTCTTCTTCATGCGTTGTATTATCTTGCTGTGAGTTCCAAAGCCAACATTTGTTTGAAAGTGGTCAACAGGTATTTTCTTCATTTTGGAATATTTTTGAAAATTCTTATCATCTTTAAGAGGAGAAAGCCTAGGCTCTAGCTTGTTAGATTTTCTCTGGATTTGCTGCAGATTTAGTAGCTTGGAATTCTTGTTTGGCCCATTGTGCAGCCGAGATAACTTCTGACGTAGGTTCTTTGCTGCTTTTATTTTAGAATCAATGTCTAGAGTCCGCTAGAAATATAAGTTAAGGGAGTACATTTTTATATCGATAATTAGTCGTGTTGTCATTTTGGCCTTCTGAAGGATTCCGACCTTTGAACGGATGGTAGCCCTTAGCCATGTTGTTGGATTTTGATCTGTAAGTTATGGCTGGTACCTACCGTTTGTTGAAGACTTGGAAATTGCCATAATGATCCTCTACTACAGGCCTCTTAATTCCTGCAGGTTGTTTCTTGCCTAATTGTGGATTATCGACTGATGAGTTCAGGTAATTATCAGCATTGGAGTTCTGGTCACTGTAGATCCCTCTAAAGGTCATGTTGTTAGTTGGATTCTCAGAGCTTTCTGATTGCTTAGTCATATGAATGCTGACATTAATTAGACTTATCTCTGATAGGCTTAATTTTACTCATTCTTTGATGACGCTTTTCTAGCATCTCCATTGAACGATTGCCACTGCTGGAGAAGGAATTTTTAGACCGGTTGTTTGAGTTTTCAGGCAGTTTCATTTTGTTATATCCTGTTTGGTGATGAGAAGGTTCTCTAAACTCTTCATTTTGATGAGTGTATCGATTTAGGAAACTTCTATTGGTGCTCCCTTGGTATATAGTAGAGGACACTCCTTTCGAGAATACCCTTGCCTCTCTTTTCGGCTTCTTTTCTTTGTTAAATGACATCACTGTTGGTTGGGTCGTGCTTGATTTTACAGAAACTTCTTTATTGGTGTTATTCAACGTATTCTTAATTTTCAAATCTTGGTAAGTCAGAAGGTTTCCATCCTGGGAAAAGTTCAGGGATATCTTTTGGTCCTTAAATGAGTTATTTAGAGGCTTATCACGGTAACATTTGCATTTGAGGCATTCTCATTGGCAGATTTCGTTCTCTGGATTAGGCTCAGGGAGAGGTTTACGTTTAACTTTCACCTTAGCGAGCATGATATTGCTTGGATTTTTAGCAAAGACATCGTCTGAATCTTCATCCATCTCTTCAAACTCGATGGAGTTGAAATCTTGAGTCTCTGCTTCATTTTGCTTTGTTGGAGAGTCTTCTTCGATTTTGCGGTCTTCTCGCCCTTGATTAACTTGTTCGAACATATTTTTGACGTCTTTCTTTATGCCTCCGTACTGGAGGCCAAGGCCGATCTCCATGAGGCGGACCACGTAGTCCATGGAATTGATGTAATCTACGACGTTGTAGGTCTTCTTCTTCCGAAGAGGGAAGTTCCTGTGGAGCTCATTCAGCTTGAGCATCCCTTCATCAGACTCTAGCATGAACTGAGCAAATGCTTCTAGGTAGAACGGAGGTAGCTTGTAATCATAAGTGTTGTCGACTTTCATCCTGACTATCTTGATTGGAGGGGACGAGTAGATCTCTCTTAGTGCCTTCTCCCGCCCCTTTAGGCTTCTAGCTGAAGATTTTACAGAAGAAGCTCCACTTTTTAGAGTCTTCTTAGCTGAAGATGTGAAGGCTTTTGTGGCCTTTGCTCTATTAACTTGGGGAGAAATGTGTGAGTAATATTTATTTCACAGATTCACTGTCTGTATGCACTGTGATGAGAATTCTAGTATCTTTATTCTTGAGCCTTTTCCCTTTACGAATCCGATACAGTTGCTTGTTCGAGTACAGAAGTTTGTCGGGCCTCTCCTGGGGATTTATGCAGTAAAAGTGTCTCCCTTTAGGACTTTGGGAGTACTTACCATCCTTCATGATCTCCATGCATAGTGCGAATTTTGTGTCCTCATCTATTCTGTAGAGCTGACGGGCTTGTCTCCTAAGGTAGTCTATAGTGACGTCGTCTCTTCTGATAAGGAGGTTCTTGCCCCTCTTATTCCAAACAAATTGGAAGAAGATAAAGTCCATATGAAATATTTTATTTTTTGTTTTCAATATAAGTTTTAAACTTAGGGGTTTTGGGGTTTTGGGGTTTTGGGGTTTTGGGG